GCACTAAGCGTTCTCCAGCCATCACCACTATCCATCTCCAGTACTCTTTTTATCTTATAAAGGTTGACACTTGACCGGCGGTATGTCAGCAATAAACTCCCCTTGCCCCCTACTGTTACAGTCCCTGGCAACTACCATTCTACTTACTGCTTCTGGGATTTTTTTTTTTTAAAAGAGATGGGGTCTTATTCTGTTGCCCAGGCTAGAGTGCAGTAGTATGATCATAGTTCACTGCAGCCTCAAACTCTTGTGTTTAAGCTTCCAAATAAGCTGGACTTACGCAGAACACACATGCTGGCAAAATTTTTTTTTTTTTCATTTTTTTAGAGACAGGATGCTTGCATTGTTTGCCAGCGTTAGTCTTGACTCCTGGGGCCGGTCAAGTGTTACTTACCATCTTCATTCTCTGGAGTCACTGCTTTACAGGCATGACTCTGTCTTTATGATTGTGACTACCCTAAGTATCTTGTATAAGTGGAATCATGTAGTATTTATCTTTTTTGTGACTGGTTTTTTCATTACCATGTGGGTCCTAAGGTATATCCTGAATTTCCTTTTTAAAGGCCTTACATAATATTCCAGTTTGTATATACCACATTTGCTTATCCCATAAGCCGTTTAGAAAGGATCTTTGAAATTGCAGGATTCTAAAATGGTTCTGGCGGGCGCGGTGGGGCTCAAGCCTGTTGTAATCCTAGCACTCTGGGAGCCGGAGGGGGGTTGTTGTTTTTATTGGGGCTCTTTTTGAGGTCATGTGAGTTCGAACACCAGCCTGAGCAGAGCAAGACCCCGTCTCTACTAAAATAGGAAAGAAATTAATGTTTATGTAATTAATTCATGTAGCTAATATATAAAAAGCGGCATGGATGCCTGATCAGTTCTTTACTCGGGAGGCTGAGGCAGAAGGATTGCTTGAGCCCAGGGTTTGAGTTGCATGAGCTAGGTGACCCATGGGCACTCCTTCTAAGCCTGTTGACAAAAGTTGAGACTCTGTCTCACAAAAAAAGGAAAAAAGAAATGTTTCTCAAAATCTTTACCTGTGTAGAAGCACTTCTATGGACAAGTTATAGTAGAATAAGAGGCAGCATTTGCTGAATTATGGGAGAAAAAATTTCCTTAAGACAAATGTATAAAAATGTTTTTTAAGAAAAAAAAGAAGAGAAAATCTAAATTTACTTTTTAAGTTTTTAATTGAAATAATTTCAAACTAAAGAAAAGTTGCAAGAATAAGAATGAGGTACAAGGATACCCATACCCTTTGTCCAGATTCATGGATATTATGAGATTGTTATTTCTGGTTCTGATTTAGTTATTTCTCTTTCTCGTCTCTCTACAGTGATACAGCCCCCCCCACAATTTTCCCTCGAGCCAGTTTGAGAGTAATGTTGCAAGCTATGGATACTTTACCTTAAATGTTCAGTGTGGTGTCTCTTTAGAATAAGATGTTTTGCTTAAAGTAATCCACGGCAGTATATTATTATTCATAATTACATGGGATAACATGTTTAGTCTCATAGTTGCATTCCCATTTGGTCAGTTGAGGAGCCAGCATGTGTTCTCAGTAGTAGCATTTCTCTCGACGTACAGTCTAGATCGGAATTACATTTAGTTAGATCATGTTTTTGAATCTCTTCTAATCTGGAACAGTCTTTCTTTGGTCTGTTATTACTTTGACGTTTTGAAGCTTTATGGTTCTACCTTCCCCCTTTGCTTTTTTTTAAATTAACAGACTTTTATTTTTTAGAGAGTTTTTAGCGTTCACAGCAAAATTAAGCAGAAATGACAGAGTCTGCCTTATTATCCCTTCAAAATATGCGCTTATTCCGACCATCAGAGAGGGCGTGAGTGTGCTACGTTATGTTGCTTAATCAGTTGAATGGCATGAGCATTATAGTCAACAGAAGTCCATGTTTACATTAGGGTTCCAGGTCTCTCTCATTATACATTCGTATTAGTGATTCTTTTCTATTTTAATAGCACTCTTCATTTTGGATATATCTAGTTTTTTTCACATGGAGATTATATCGTAGGTGATCACGATGTCCATAAACCTGTCACTGCTAATGTTAATTTTGATCCTGGTCAGATGTTGTCCATTTCTTCTTTGTAATGTAACTATATTTCCCTTGGACTAATCCAGCATCTTGTGAGGTCATACCTTTTTTTTTTTTTTTTTTGAGACAGAGTTCACTTTGTTGCCCAGGCTGTAGAGTGAGTTGCGCATAGATAACCTAGCTCACACAGCAACTCTCAAACTCCTGGCTAGATCTATCATGACGTGCCTCAGCTTCCAGTAGCTGGGACTACAGTGATGCCCCATTGCCGGCTATTTTTTCTACTATATATTAGGTTGGCCAATAATTTCTTTGTATTTATAGTATGATTATGGGGGTGCTTGATCTTGCTCAAGGCTGGTTTCTAACTCTGACTGGACAATCACCTGCCTCAGCCTCCCAGAGTGTTCAGATATTACAGCGCGTGAGCCACTAGCAGCCCCGCCAGGATGATAGTTTAAGCATGCAAATTCCTCCTATAAAAATGTCTCACTATTTAAAGTATCCATTGTTTAATTTTTGTCTGAAAGCTTCTTTGCTATAATGCGCAGAATGGTTTTCACTCACATTTCCACATGTGGACATTAACATTTCTCTAAGAGGCTTCCTCCCCTTCCCCCCCCCATTTATACTCTTATTTAGTTTATATGGATCATAGATTCTTTACTTTTAATTGTTTGTACTCTAATACAATTTTAGTGATAAATTCCTTTAGACAATATAGTTCTGGATGTTTGTTTGGGAGAGAGGTCAAATTATATTGTGTCCCTCTCTCTCCCGCTGCCAGCTGAAGTTCCTGTCTTTGCCAGACACCTGGATGAAAGAGTTTTTTCTGGCTCACATATACACAGAGTTGCAGTTGATAGAGGAGGCCCTGCAAAAGTATCAGAATCTCATTGATGTGGGCTTCTCTAAGAGCTCATATATTGTTTCCCAAATTGCAGTTGCCTATCACAATATCAGAGGTGAGTGAATAAGGACAATGAAATACCATCAAACTCTGAGAGGTGTACTGTATTGTTTTCTGAACTATTTTTCTTCTTTTTGTAGATATTGACAAAGCCCTCTCCATTTTTAATGAGCTAAGGAAGCAAGACCCTTACAGGATTGAAAATATGGACACATTCTCCAACCTTCTTTATGTTAGGGTGAGGTGATTCTCTTTCTTGGGCTTGATTAAGCTCTTTTGTGCTTTAATCTTCTGGTTTGGATTGTCACTCAGTTGTGTTAGATATAGGAAAAATAATTTGGGGAGTTCTTTTTTTGTGCTTACATCATCTTTTTCTTTCTTCCAGAGCATGAAATCTGAGTTGAGTTATTTGGCTCATAACCTCTGTGAGATTGATAAATATCGTGTAGAAACATGCTGTGTAATTGGTAAGAGTTAACTATATTTTTTTCTTTTAAGATTTTTCTTTATTCTAAGTAACACAAATGTAAAAATAACAGTATTTAAAGTGTCAAAAGTAACAGAATTATATACCATAGAAT